CAGGGGACCCTGCGCCCCAAGCATTCAGACATCCCAAGCCCAGGGAACTGCACTCTTGTCTCTGGCACTGACACTCAGGTAGGAGCAAAGGCGAGGCTCCCTGGGTGGCTTTTGGGGTGCAGATGCCTCTGAGGAGGAGCCTGGGTGGGGAAGGGACACGGTGGAAGCTAACGATTGTGGCCACCTCGGGAAGCAGCTTTTAGGTGCCCAGAACTCTTGAGGTCGACTTAGCAGCTGACAGCGGAGGTCTGCGCGAGCAGGTGAGAGTAATTAGAGAAACTTTGGGTTACTGATGTAAATTGACTTCATTTGTATTCAAGGCCTGGCAGGCCCGTTACCTTTGGACAAACATTTCTGCAACATCTGCTCTGCGCCCAGCCCTGTGCTCCTGAGAGCAGCAGGGAACTTTCCAGGGTCTCACAGGCTCGCCTAGGGCTGTGTAGGGTGAGGGACATGGCCAGGCTTTTGCGCCACTGGTCTTGTAGCTATCACCTAGGGCCTTGAATGCAGGAGGCGCTTGGGCGCGTGGGGGAGGGCGCGCCCGCCTGACTGTGGACACCGGGAGTGCAGTGTGGACACGCAGAAGTGGGCACACCTGAGCCTGGAGGCAGAGGCTGTGGCATCACGCAGAGACACCTGTGGTGGAGAACGGTTGTGAGGAAGAGACCACGAGAGAACGCCAGAGCGAGCCCAGAGAGAAAAGCGTGGAGTCACTGTGGGCCGGAGGCCTGCCAGGCACCTGCCCGCCTGTGCCGGGTGGCCACACTCTGCCTCGGGGTGGACTGGAGGCTCCAGAGGAGGCCAGCCGGGACCATGAGCCCCATCTGACCCTGGTAAGTGCCCTGGGGGGCCAAGTGGTGCTCTTGGAAGGTGGAACTGCTGGAACTGGTGACTTATTGGGGGTGCGGGTGGCAGGTGGCTCGGCATCTCCGCATGGCCGGGCATGGCAGCTGGGTAGCTGATGTCATTTTCAGAGAGGAGCGCAAGGGAGGCGTGTTCCTGGCAGGGAGGGTGTAAACGAGTTAATTAGGCTGTTTACGCCACTAGCCACTAGCTTGGTGGTGCAGCCTTGATGGTGTTAATGCTTGGGAGCGTGGCACGGTGCATGCGTGCTTGATTGTGGCCGCCCAGGTATGGCGTGGCTGGCTGTGTGCGCATGCGCACCTGTGCACATCTGGGCCGAGAGGCCAGGTCTAAGGGTGGCGTCACTCGGAGACCGGCTGCAGCTCCGGGGGCGGGCGGTGTGACCACAGAATAGGTGAGACCTCTTCTGAGAACGCCAGAGAGCCCAGAGAAAGAGGGCTAAGTAAGATTCATGGGGGTGGGAAGCTCATTTCCCGCCTGCCTCCCCGCCCCCCTGCCCAGCCCCTGCCGGCCTCCGAGCATGCCCGCCGCCCCGCATGCCAGCTTCCTGAGAGAGTACTGAAGCCTGAGAAATCCTCTGAGGGCTCTAGACCCCTCCTCTGGCCATCTGCCGAGTTGACAGAGAACCTGCCGTGCACTTGCACAGCTGAGGGCCTGGGGGTAACTGAGGCACAGCCCGCTGGTGATAAACAGCCAGAAGCAGGTCTAGGCACCAGGAGAAATGAAAGGCTAAAGAGACGAATGTACAACCAAGAAAGCTTCTTAAAATTCGCCTTGGGTGGGGCAGGGACTTAAGAGGGTGCAGCAGGGTAGTGGCTTGAAAAAGAACAGCGGAACAAGGCAGATGTCAGAGTCACTCCGTGTAGCTGAAGTACTGGCTGATGAGGGCAGTTCCGAGAGACTGACGCACCCCAAGAGCTGCGTCAGGGTGCGGAGTCCGCCCCGGAGGCGGAGGGCAATGCGCGAGCAGGGCCGCTGAGCGCTGGTAGCCCTGCGAGGGCCGTGCTTCAGACAGCCTGTGGGCGCAGGCTGGACGGGAGCCCCACGAGGAAGGGAGAGGAGCCCCGACCGTTGCTTGCTCGTTCATTCAACAGCGAACTTCTCTGCCTCTGCAGACGGAGGCAACTTCCTCCTCTATCTAATCTCCAGTCTCGTGAGCCGAGAATTTAGACACCTAGACACTTTGGGTTAATGCAGGTATAGAAAAAGTAAACCGCTTCTACTAAAGGTAGCAGGATTATCAAAGAAGCATGTGAGGTGCAGCCCCCTGGTAAAAGGAGTTTCACAACAGTGGAACATCACTCGCCTTTAAAAGGAAGTTCTGGTCCTGCAGTGTGGGTGAAGCTTGCCCAGCCCATTCTCAGTGAAACAAGCCAGCACAAAGACACTATGATTCACCTTGCACAAGGTGGTCAGATTCATAAAGTAGGATCGTGGGGCGTCGGGGTGCGGGAGCTGGGGTGTCGGGGGTGGAGGAAGGAAGCTGTTTAATTGGTAGAGTGTTCATTCTGCAAGGGGAGGACTATTCTGGGGCGTCCGTGGTCGTTCATGCTATGTGTTCATGCTATGTGCTGTGTGCTTGAAAATGGTTACAGTGCTACTTCTTGGGATGGGCTTGACCACAAAGAAAAATAACTTATTTTAAAGTTTTGCATAGAAGAGTAGGGTGTAGGCCAGAGGTGGTGGTGGGGGTGGGGGGCAGTGAAAGAATTCACCAGAGACAGAGTGGAAGGTAGAGCAAGCAGATTTTATGGAAATGCACTGCTGAGGGAGCAGCGGGGAGACAGGAGAGGTCTGCTGTGCCATGTGGGTCAGCTCCCTGGCTGGGGATCAAACTCAGGCTGCAGTGGTGATAGCACTGAGACTTAACCCCTACGCCACCAGAGAAGGCCCTCCCAATTATTTTTTAACATTTATGCATACAGAACTGGGGTACAAGCGAGAGGTGCAGGGGCAGTGAGAGGGCTCACCAGAGACAGAGTGGGGAGTAGAACAGGCAGACTGATGAAGTACATTGCTGAGGGGAGCAGTGGGTGGGTCAGGTGGGGTCTACTGCGCCATGTGGGTCACCTCCCGGGGTGAGTATCGAACTCATGCTGAAGTGGCTTTAGCTTCTCAGTGCTGTGCTTTACCCCGCTGCACCGCCAGGGAGGGCCCCCAAAAAATTTTTAAGGGAGTTTCAGAATAGTTTCTAGGACAAAACCCAACTCTAAAAAGGAAACATCTACAACAGTGACTCAAAAAGACTAATAATGAAAGAACAGGAAAGAGATAACAAACCGGTGTAAACAATAGGGCTCTGAAGCTGATCTGTGACAAGACAGAATTCAGGCTCCACACCACAGAGATGAAGAGAATAAAGGACACAACAGCATTTTCATAAAGCAGAAATTACAGGAACTGCAGGAAGACATAGACATGCTAATAACGGGGCTGAAACAGAGCACTTTCGGCTCAAGACTCCTCAAAGGGTCAAAAGAACAAGAGCACCAGAGCCCTACCCACAGCCTGTCTCCTAGGTACATATCAAAATGGGCACCCCACAAGGGAGCACCCCTTTTGACACACGTTGTGAAAACATGTGAGATTGGAAGGTAAGCGGCTGGCAGGCTTTTGCACCCCTGGCCTCTGCCGCCTTGAATGCAGGAGGCACTTGGGAGCGTGGGCTCCGGGCACACGTGCCTCGTGGTGGACACCGGAGTTCAGTGTGGGCACGTGAGTGGGCACCCCTGAGCCTGGAGGCTGAGCTGTAAGGCGGTGCCACTCAGAGCCGGCTGTGGTGGAGAACGGCTAGGAGAAGACGCCAGAGGAAGCCTGCAGGGTAAAGATTCGTGGAAGCATGGGCCTCGCAGCCTCTGACACTCTGACACCCCTGCCTGCTTTCCTGCCTGCGGGCTGGCCCCGCAACGATTGGTGTAGAAAGGCAGTAAAGCCTGACACAGCCGCTGAGGGCTCTGGGACTCTCCTTTACCCATTTAGCCGAAAAAAGAGCCTGCCCTAAGCATGCTGGCACAACAGAGGGCAAACGGCACAGCAGAGCTTCGCCCAGTGGGCTTATGGGAGAAAGGATGTAGTGACAGAAACACTCTGAAAATGAAAATGCACCAAGCTGAGTGACTGATGCTGTCGACACTGTCACGATGGCCACTCACTGCGGGGTGGCCTTTCTGCTGCTCCCTGGTCCTCAGACACCTTCTAGAGTCAGGGGAGGTGTGAACATGCTTTACCATCGCCCATCGTCCAGCCACCTGCCAGCTAGCCCAGTGTTAGAAGCACCTTGTCGACGGTGTGCTGAAAGGCAGCTGCCTGCTTCTCTTGTATCACCTCCAGGGCCCTGAACAGTGCTAAATGCATTTCAAGTGCTCCCTGAAGACTTACAAACCACAGTACACTGAGACCTATTTAATGAAACGCTGCTCTGGTACTTATTAGCTGTGTGACCTTGGGGAAGTTAAACACCGCTTTTGAACCTTGATTTTCTCATACATAAATATAGTTAACACTAAGACCGAGGATTACTCAAAAGTTTAAATGTAACACATATCCGTCCACAGTAGGCAATCAATAAATATTAGTATGAGGTGGAGGAATAGAGGAACTTAACAAACAGCTAAATATAAAACCAGGTTCTTTTGTTCTCAAAAAAGAATCCTTAAATGGAAATATCTGCTAATGTACTTGTAATCATCTTTTAAATATCACAGGGTAATAGTGACATGTTATGGTGCAGCGTGTTGTGGAATACTGCACTGCAATGAAAAAGGATAAGTTGTATCAATCTGTGCACACAGATAAATGGCCATGTTGAGGGAAAAGGGCAAGCTCCAGTATAAGAATAGAATAGCTCCTCTCTCCACTTAAAAAATAATTACATACGTAGACAGTTTGGGAAAATACATATATAATTGTTAAGAACTTGTGAGAAGTTTCTCTTTTTGCATTCCAGTTTCTTTTATAATTCCCAACATACACACAGGCATTTACACAAGAATAAATAAATAGCAAAAGTTACGTAATTCTCTTTAGCCTGGATTTTTTACAGGACTTTGAAAGTGACTAAACTGAGGAGAGGTGGAGCATTTTCCTGGCAAGCAGGAGGATTTCCATGCCCAGCTTTTTTTGGGGGGGCGGGGGAGAAGTTGGGGGGGGGGTTTAGACTGCTCTAGCACCACTCATTACTCAGCACATCCCAACAGGTAGTCTCTCTCTCATCCCTGCCACCCCGCAGCCGTGACAGAGAAACAGAGGAGCTTTGATAGAGGTCGGCTGACACAGAGTAATCAGCTGAAAGCCATTTGCTGAGTTGTCTGACTGCCCTGGGCCCGAGGTTTTCCTTTATTCATTTATCATGATATACAGCTTTGGCCAACATACACACAGGAGAGAAATTGTTGACATGTGGGACCCAAGTACAGAAAATCTTTCATTTTCCCCCCGTCTGTTCACCAAATAAGTTTTTGTTTATTTAAAGACTACAGAGGATTTGGCTGTTAAGAACCAAATGCCTTTGGAGTGGAGTTACAACATAATTTATCATTTCCTCTGTTTATTAAAAAATCCTGCATCTTTGAGAAGCACATTTGCAGTGACTGGGGGATTTCGGCCACTCACGAGAGACTCGCAAAGCCCTCGCCATGTGGCTTACCCCCCAAAAAGACTCCTTGATTGCTATTTCTATCCCTGTTCTCCCTCAGCTGACTTCCGATTGTGATGGCTTCTCGGGGCTGGCAAATGGGGTCTGAGCGAGGATAGGTCGGAGGCCAGCAGACTGTGTTGGCTTCTCTCGTCTCTGAATCGGCTCTGCTCATGAATCCCACACTGTTGTGGTGTGCTCGGGCCTTACGAGTCACAGTGCTCCTGCTGTCACCCCGGGGGGAGGGGGGGCGGAACGTATTGGAGACCAGCCGGACGCTGCTCTGCAGAACACTGGGCCCAGGCTTCTGATTGAAAGGCAGATACACAGCAGAACTGGAATATGAACTAACCCCTCCCCCGGCACAGGCACTCATCCAGGGCGCCAGGTGATCCTCACAGACAGGGCTCCCTCCTTACCCACCTTGTGTTTCTCAGGCATAGCCTGCAAGCTGGTACATAGTTGGTGCTGAGCGTTTATGAAAGAAGGGGATCCCACCATTTGAACGCTGGTCTGTGGACCTAGCTGTGGGTTCCTCTCTGAGCAACCTGCCCTCTGTGGGGCGAGGCGGACAACGGACAGGAAAAGGCTCTTACCGCTGACTAGCTTCGTTCCTTTGGGCAAGTACCTTAATACTGTCAAGTCTCAGTTTTCCTATTTACAATGGAAATAATATAAGCCTTGTAAGTTCACTGTGAAGATTAAAAATACTGCCTAGAGCAGCATCTAGGTCACAATGGCTATAGAATGAACAAATGAATGAATGAGCCACAGAAGGAAAATTATCAGAGGGGCGGAAATACTCAGCACCCAAAGAGGGCTGCAACAAGCCTGTGGGGGCCTTTGGGGGGGGTGGTCACATTACCAAGCAAATGCTGAGGACAAAGACAAGGGTGGAAAATGAAGATGAAAGTGCCAGGGCTTGGGGAGAAAGGAAAAGGAGCTGGCACTGTTGAGTAGCTGCTACGTGCAACTCATCGACAACCCTGAACGCCTACTATGTCCCCGGCATGAGGCCAAGTTCCGAGGAACTGAAGATGTACACACCAGCTATCACACAAACAATTAGGGTTCTGATAAGAACAGCGGACAGTGCTATGAGCCGCGATAACAGGGGCTGGGAGGAAAAGGAAGACTTCCTGGAGGAAGCGCGATAGGAGCTGAGCCGTGAAGGATGAGCAGAAGTGGCCAGGAGGGAGGCGGAGGGGCCGACCAGGCAGAGAAGGAGCGAGTGTGAAGATGACCCGGCACAGGCGGGCATGGGCAACAGACAGGCCCTCGGAGAACAGGGATTCAGACCGACTCTCGCTCTCCAGGGTGGTTACGCTTCCACTTTATTCAGAGCTGTAGTTGGTGTGATGGCCTCCAGCAAAGGTTTCCAGTTGCAGGTGAAGGTCCCAGCAGAGTTCAAGTTGGGGACAGGGCCAGACCCATCATTTGATAAGGAGATTCCTGCAACGAGGAACAGGCAGTACAAAACCTGTCTAGGGTCCTTGTCACTTGGCAATGTCACAGTCGAGGCAAATGACCCAAGTAAAGGCCCTTGAAGCCTCTGAAGGAGACCCACTCCAGGGGCCCAGAGCTAGGGGGGAGGGGGGGCGGGGGAAGGGGTGGGAGGAAGCATGAGCAGGTCTGGGTGTCCCACAGGAAGGCTGGGCCTCACAGGATGCAAGGCTGAACTGTGACAGTCTCCCGGGTGAACAGGGAAGAGAGGCGATGATTTGCCACCCAAGGGCTCCACTAGAATCAGGCCTTGGTGCTCAGCGGGCTCTGGTGGTCTTTCACCCAAGGAGCTCTTTGGTCTTCACGGCCAGATGCCGATCCAGCTCCGCAACCGTGTCGTCGGCCATTTGGCTGATCTGCAGAAACAGAAGGGGAGAGCCTGGAGACAGGGTGGCAACAGGCAGGGGAGAGATGACCCGGAACGATGCAAAGATTACCTGGGAGACAAGGGTGGTGACAGAGCTCATAAGCATGGAGTCCCAGCCAGGCACTGCACTAGGATCTTTCTACACACACGGATTTCTAACGACAACCCCGCGAGTGACGTGTCACCGTAACTCGCATCTCACAAAGGAGACACTGAGGCTGTTAGAGCACTTGTTCAGGACATCGTTAGAAAGCTGCCGTGATGGATTTTAATCCCGGGTGGTCTGATTCCACAGCCCCAAATTCTGAACTATTATTACAGAACACATGGACACCAGCCTATCTGTCCCTTAACAGATGTAGAATTTCCTGCACCTCGGGAATCGCTGCTCTATAAAGCCCTCCTACTAGCTGAGAAGAAGAAAATGAAGATGTCAATCATTAGGTAGGGAAAAAGTGTCTTGAAAAAAAGATGAAGTATATCTGGTTAACAAACACAGAAAATTCAACAGACACTGAAGAAATGCAAATTAAAACAAGATATAATTCAGCTATCACAGCTAACAAAAATTTGATGTTGTGGTTTTTAATTACAATATTCACTGCCAGAAAACTCTGGTGAAGTGGATAAGCTCACATATCACCCACAGGATCCAGAATGAGACAAATGTTCCTATCATTTTTCAAGCCCCAAATCCCTCAACTGGGAAATTCTCACCACACAAATCTGCAAAGACCTTACATTTTCTATGCAAAGATATTTACCCAAGCTTTATCTTTAATAGTGAAAAATCAGAAAAATCTAAAGTGACAGAATGGAAAAACAGCTGAATACATATAACCACTGAAACAGTTAAGACTATTTCTCATAGAGAGTATAAATATGGATAACATTCCAGTTTGTACTTCTGAAATGTTGACTGTCTGAATGTTTTGTAACAAGCATGGGGTGTTTTTGTAATCAGAAAAAGATAAACATTTCAAGATATTATTTATAATACCAGGGGAACATGGCCACTTGCCCCTGAATTACAGAAAAAGCAGAAGACAAAACCTAGTAAAAAACGATCTCAAATGTTCTAAAGATATGCATATTTTTTACAGCTGGGAGGATACATGTCAAAATATTATCTGTTGGTGATGGGAAGACAGATGATGTATTATTCATGTCGGTCTCGGCCACATCCAGCCTAAGGCCCAGCACATAGCAAGTGCTCAGGAAATATTGGCTAACTGAACAAATATTGAAGTTTTCTGTGCTTTTCTCTATTTCCCAAGTTTTCAGCAGTAAGTATGTTCTCCCTCTAAGAATAAAAGTCAAAAACCATACAATTTAGTCAATGTTGCTGCCTCCTTCCCTGTCCAAGAGGGACTTGAGGCAGGAAGCCGAGGCAGGCAGCCTTGAGGGGTGCTTGGTGCCCAGAGGCTGGGTGTTCCGCAGCACCGCAGCTAGCTGACACCCTATTTGCAGACCGAAGGCCTTGGCCAGGAGCCAAGAACTGCACAAGCCAGAGGGGCAGAACCTCAGAAGGATTTGGAGCGACTGGTCCAGGCAGGGAGACAGCCGGGCCCTCACCATGGCAACAGCTGCGTTTCAGCAGGGAAAGCAGAGCTCAGCTGCCAGCGCACGGAAGGGCCCCCCTCGCCCGCCACCCCAGCCCCTCAGCGGCTTCCTCTGCTGCCACCCACGCAGTTGCTTGCGTGGGGTGTGGCGTGGTGCCCACTGGCACCCCAGCACCAGCAGGCTGGCAGCCCCAGGCAGCCAGGAAGGAGGGGGGCAGCCTTCTCTGGAATATGGGGGCCAAGGATGGGGTGGGGCTGGGGGAAGGGGACCCAGAGTAACACCACTGTATATGGGTGCTGGGTAAACGGATGCCTCGGTGAGTGACGGTGTACAAGCCACTTCCGGGCTACGGGTCCGAGTGTCCTCAACTATGAGATGGGGACGCCCACCCCCTTCCCGAGACAGTGGCTGTAAGGGTTAAACAAAACCATGAATATGCAAGTTGTTTCAATCTGGTTATTTGCTATGCAAATACTGCTTGTGCTACTCTGATATTTTTACTATCGCTTCCTGACTTCTTTTCAAATTAATCAATTAATGAAAATATTTACAAACCTGCTGCCGTATTACAGGCACCAAGTGCCCTTGGGACAGTTTGCCTGCAAGCTCCTCTTTTCCATCATCATCATCAGACTTCTTAAAATGATGATGAGTAACAACGACAAAATACCCAGACAGCTCCGGCTTACTGCATGTTTATCACATGCCAGACACAGGGCTAAAAACGTCACCCGCTTTTTCATATCACCCTCAAAATACCCGAAATACCATCCTCATGTCCCTTTAACAAATGATGGATGCTAATCATTCACCTGACAGGTGCTTAGGAGTTCATACTCTGCAGACCTGTTCTGTCCTTCATTCAAAGCCAACCACTTCATCTCACCTCTGCAAGGCAGGCAGAGCAGAATCACGCCCATTTCACAGAGTAAACGGGTTAAACCACGTGAACCAACCTGCCCAAGACACAGAAGTCAGTGGAGTGACGGAGCCAAGCACTCGTCCGTCCTGACGGCATGTGGGGCTGCCAGTGCATTTGGGGTGCCCGCAGCCCCTGGCCTAGTCCTTCTTCCTTCAGGTAAGCTGTGCCCAGGTTATTCAGTCAGTCCCAGTTCTACTTCCAGAGTCACCAGGTTGGGAGACAGAGGTGGGTGGACAAGACAGCAGACGATGGCTAAGCGCTCCCCGTGAGTCTGCACTGGCATGTGGTGCTCTGAGCCGACCCTCCCACTTCGGAGCTGAGGAACAGAGGCTCAGAAAGGTTGAGGCCATCTGCCGACCTGAAGTGCCAAGAAGTGAAAGAGCTGGGACTTGAACGCAAGTCCTGCTGACTCAAGGCCAGGGCCTTTTCCTTTACAATAAATACAAAATCATAAAGATGAAGACATCATGCTTGTCATCACTGTCATCGTCATCACCTTCTCTCCCACATGTTCGAGGAAATGAAAGGCAGAGACAGAGCCAGGGCGCTAGACTACATCTGGGCAGGCCTGGGGAGCGCGTTGCTCTCCCAGAGGCCTGGCTGAGGCCTGGCTCGCGGCAACCACAGTCCAGAGAGGGCTGCTCCCAGGGCTGCCTCACGCATCCTGCCTCGCCGCTGCCCATCTGCAGGAGTCCTGCCCTCCTCGCGCGGCTTCGCAGCGGAGCAGTCTGTTTCTCAGAAATTTCTAGGCAGCAGTGAAAGGATCTTGGCGGGATTTACTGCCGGTTTCTGCCAAGCGTTTTAATGTTCAGCAGGCCCATTCAGAGCAAACAAAAGCGAAGGTGAAACAGCAGGCCGGCAGATGCCAGAGTCCCGGGTGGGAAGACCTGGGGCCTTCAGCAGAGCCGGCCTGGCCAGGCGGCTGGGCAGCTGCAGGGAGGGTGGACTCTGCCGTGAGCGCAGGCTGGACCTCCGATAACCGAACCGTCTCATGCCTCCACGCTAAAGGGGATGCGTCTTTATGACACAGCTTTTACACGTCTGACCTTCAAAGAATATTGGAAAATGAAAAAATAATTTCACAGGGAGTAAAGTTAAAATTGTTCCTAATCCTATGACCTGAGCGACCACCATTAACATCTGATGAGGATAAGCTGCCATCATCTGTAAAATATTTTTATAACCGTGTCTGTGTAATGAGTCAGTGAAGGGCCATTAAACAACTTATATTCCCACTGTCCGGATTTACAGTTTGCAGTTCTCTACTGTTAAATACAGCACTTCTAAGGTAAGATTCCTGACCACTTATTTTGGACAAGTTCCTAAGTTACTGAGTCAGAAATGGATGAATTGTGGTATATGCTAACATTTTATCCTCTCAAAAGGTTATATGGAATTATATGATTATATAAAAGCTTCTGTGGAATGTGACAGTAAAAGTGATAATTCTGAGATAAGCAACATGTAAAGTTCATAGTAAAAATAAGGTTCAAATGACAGGGATCAGAAAAGGCAAAAACAAAAAACAAAAGCACCACATTCTAAAAACCATGGAAGGTTTGGGCCGTAAAGTCAAGAACCTTGAAAATACATGTCCCTCTGTACCCTAATTCCACACTCGGGCCTGAGGAAATTCATCTCGACAAAGATCCATGTCCACAAATACTCACAAGCATCTTTATACTAAGAAAAAGGTGTAAACAGTGTTCAAGAAGAGGGCTCATTGAAAGTGGCTTCTCGCAAAGCCACCAGGGCTATTTTGCAGCCACCAGAAATGAGCTTACAAAGATTTTTTAAGACATGAGAAAATATTAATGGGTTTAATGCTGAATAGAAAATTAAAGGCGGATACAACACTGCACTGTGCTATAGGTACACAATCACAGCACAAACGATCCCATTTTAAGAGGGGTAGAGGAAGAGGAGAAACAGTCCAAGATGTTGAGAGCACCTGTTGCTGCAATGTGGGCTTATGGGACACATTTTTTCCTGTTTTTTAAAGTCTTCTGCCCTTTCTGCACTTAAAATTTTGTACAAAGAGCAAGTATCACCTCGATAAACAAGAATGAAATAAGTATATCTGTAAAACGGATAAAACAACAGTCCCTGCCTTGTGAGTTTTAAAAACAAAACCAGGGAGCATGTTGGCAGGAGGGAAATTAAAAAACACACACACACAAAACACCACAGCACAATGTATACCTGGAACACCATAACTGTGTCTTCTGTCAGGAGAAAGAACAGAATCCACTGTGCATGAGACTGTCCCCTGAATATTTCCTTGCTCAAGCTTTCAACCACGTGACAGTAAATAGTGTTAATGACAGTAGGAAGAACTAGTATGTAAATGACAACATGTCAAGTAATAAAGATCACTGATTGCACTGGATGGACCGTCAAAACACATATGGTGTGATCTGTTACGTATGTGCTCACGGAGATAACTTGAGTTCTGCACTAAAATGTTATGGTCTGTCCTCGGTGACAAGATTTCAAATACTTTTTCAATTAAAAAAAATTTACACTAAATAAGATTAGTTTAGTATCAAGAAAAAAAGCTATATTCATTAAAAAAAATAATAACAGTAATAAGCACTGAAGAAAAACAACCTAATCTGAAGAGAAAGATAAAAAGTCAGGTGCTAATGCGCGAATGTGTCCAGCAGGGTCTCTGTCTGGCTTCATCAAGAGCACTGGTTACCTGGTCATTCTTCCTCTCAAGGAGTTTGGGCTCTGACTCCTGAGAAGGACGCCCACATTTGCTGAATGAGGCAGAACCAGGGTCAGAGGTTGGCCCCCAGGAAAAATGAAAGGTCAAGGGTAGAATGCAGAGATAGGACCCCGTGGTGGTGGACAAGGAGTAGGTCCCCCTGGGACCAGGGCCCCAACTCCGGAGAGGCCTGACTGGCGCTCAGAAGAGGTCTCCAAAACTGTGTTAGCTGCTCAGAGACAGAGCAGCACCAGGATGACAGGAAAGGAGTTGAGAGCCCAGGAGCCTGATGCCCTAATGGTGCTTCTAGAAAGGCAGGAATTACAAACCCCTTGTTACAAAACAAGCAAGCTGCAATGAGTCAAGCCGCTTCTCCAAGGTCACAGGACCACTGGAACATGGAACTGCAGGACCATCTGGAGAACTTTTTCAAAATTCATATCCCTAGGCAGACCCGCTCAATCAGAAACTACAGAGCAGGCCCTAGAAATCCATCTACAGTCCACCTCCCATGGGTGACTGCAGGGCTGTAAAAATGCCCGTATTTTTAAAAGCTCCTCAAGTGACTGACGCAAGTGGCAGATTACTGCCCAACAAATGCCAGCCCCCTTCTCAAGCCTCCCTGTCCAAGGATGGCGGGCATACCCCTTTGATTTGCCTACCCCCAGTTCAAGCCACAGGGACTTCAACACACCCTGTTCCTCGACCGTCCCCTCTGCTCTCACTCTTCCCCTCCGAGAGCTCCTTGAAGACGCACTCATGCCACTCCTCAGCCCACTCAGGACATGAGGCCTCACTTCCCAGCACCCAGACAGCCAAGCACACCCAAGGAGACCGAAAGTTGCTGGCACTTGGGTCCCACTTCTGCGATTACCCAGTGAGCAACTCTGAGCGTGTTATTCAGCCTCACTGAAGCTCAGATATCTCACTACCTCAAGCTTTGTAGTGCTAAGGGTAAATGAAGTGAGGTCAACTGCTCAGTGCAAGGGCTGGCGCACAGAATAAGGTCAAGAGAATCTCCCCTTCCGTGTCCCAGCACAGGATTAGGCCCAGAACAAGCCTGAGTCAATGCAATGACATCGATGAAAGAAGCCAGGGTGTTCTCATTCGCCTCCCTTCAGACGGGGACAGGGAGTCTGTGACTCACATACACAAGCAGCGTGTCTGCTGGTGCCGGTACCTGTTTCTCTATGAGCCTGATGGTATCCTCTGAGACCTTGTCCTTGGATTTCTTCAATTTATTCATTGCGTTGGTACGAACCTTCCGTAAAGATTCCTTGGCCTTGTTGGTGTTCTGTTTGGCCAGTTTCACCAGCATTTCCCTGTGTTCCCTGGTGACTCTGACAAGAGACAGAAGAACAGGCAACAATATCAGCCTTCAGAATCACTGCTAGATGAACGGCCCCCATCACAGCACGGGCCAGAAATCAGCTTCTGCTGATTTGGAGATTTGGGGTTGCTCGTTACTACAGCCTAGCCTGTCTTCTCCTAACTCACACACTACGCCAGGATGTGAAGAACGGGCTGAGGAAGGAAGCCCACACTCAAGGCGAAAAGCCACGAAGACACCAGGCTTCCTGAGGAAATGACAGGAGCGTGTGTAACAAAGAAGGGTGTGAGCAGAAAACTGGGCTGGAAAGCCTGGTGAGCAGCATCTTCCAAGATCATGAACTCACGATGAAGAGAAAAAGGGCCAGAAGTTTGCTTTGTATCTTACACAAACCCAAGTCAAGCCGGCCTGTCCCAAAGCCAGTGGTCCTAGCTTGGCGAGCTCCCCCTGCCCCAGGATCCCGAAACGGACGTCCCTAGAGCCTAACCCTCACGTCAAGTGGCTTCTTGCTGAATGGGGACAACTTCAAGTTCTGGGTGTAAGTTTCCTGCAAAACAGTGACAGCCAGGTGTTGAAAAATACCTTATTTTTTTTCCTTGATAAGATGAGAAAAAGGTGAAAAGAATTGAGGAGGAAAGGATACGCGTGGAAGACGAAGCAGGCAGCATGGCTGTGCGATGCTAAACCCTTCCGGACTCAGCTATTTGCAAACACTCTCAGGATAAAAGTGGCCTGCTCATGACTCAAGCCCCTCTGTGCCCATGCGCCCTGCCCCTTCTCCACCTCCCCAAGTCTGACGACTCTTCAAACTGGATCCCGACAGCCCCACTTTCCAAAGCTGGGGTGCACAGACACAGAGGAACCCGCCCCAGGCTTCAGTGACAGAACTGGAATTCCAGGCCAGACCTGCCCAGCCTGTATTCCTGCCCCGGCTCTACACGGCCTCCCCCCGAAATCCGTCTCAGATAAACCTTGCTGCTGCCCTTGCCTCTGCTTCCAGGCAGGAAGCTTTTCAAAGTCAGTAATCTGAATCTTGGGGCTGAAAAGGACAAAACCACCATGTCAGGAGTTTAGGGATTTGGATCAGATCTTGTTACTTTTATGGTTTTTAATTCATTGAGCAAAAATCATGCTGACATGTTTAGGTCTCTTTTTTGTTCTGCCAAAGCATATGTCAGTATAAGAAAGGAACAGGAAAATTAAAACTTGATCCACTGATTCAAAAAACTTAATCCTGCTGAAATACTAGGAGGGGCAGAAAATAAATGAATCTAAGTCAGTAAGAAGCCTCTTGAACAAGACACGCTTCCACCTTCAACCCCATTTACCATTTTAAATAGGTGTCCTACTGCTTTGACCACCTTTAATAAAATAAAAAACTGTTTGTGACTTCCTTTTCACTAGATTGTTGTGTTTCTCTTTTGCCGCGCCGCGTGGGTCACCTCCAGGGTGGGGACGAACTCACACCCCAGTGGCCGAGGCCAGCTTGCAGCGCTGCGCTTTGACGCGCCACCAGGGGGCGCCCCGAGGCTCAAAAATCTTAAGCATCGGATTGTAGAAAGAAAACAAAAGTATCATGTACACAGCCTGACCGTAACAAAGGGTATTTACTCATGTAAGTGGGACACCACTGGACCATCAACACCAGTTTCTGTGCATCACAGCATACCAGTTACTATTGCTGACAAAAATAACGCCATTTCGTACCAGTTATGATTGCTGAGGAAAGTGCCGTGGGAAGGGTAGGGGCAGACGAGGCAGTGAGGAGGGGGAGGAAAGGGCGTGGGGAGGGCAGTGGGCATGGGGAAGGCTGAGAGGAGAGCGGAGGTGGGCGCTGGCCGGGTGCTGAGCTAAAAGGTGTCCGAATCACCAAGGTGAGAAGCAGATGGGGCAACAGAAAGGTCCTGACCCCCAGCTGACCTCACTGAGCCTTGACTTCCTCCTCTCTCAAATGTAGGTAACAGAAACACCTTGCAGGGCTTTTGGGAGGGACAGACACAACGTATAAAGTGCAATAAAGAAGCAGCATCTAGTGGCCTTGAATAAGTGATAGCATTTATGAATGTTTTAATTAAACACACTTAATTACTTCCTCATGAAACAACGAGGGCACATCTGTTTTAGAAAAAAGACATACTATATTATGGAAATATTTTAATTCCTTTCCAAACCAGTGATTAATACATCTGATCATCTGCATCTCGCATTCACGGGGTTCTGTGCTCACTCGCTCGTTTGAATTCTGGGCCTCTGGACGTGGGTGGTGGATGCTGCACCCCGGTTCCGAACATGGTGCACCTCCATTCATCAAGCACTGCCTGAGGTTCCTGTGTTCCGTGCCGGGCCCGGGGTCAGGCTGAGGTTCTCAGAGAAGAGCAGGGCCTGGCAGCTTCCTAGAGGCTCAGTCCAGTGATGGAGACACACCTGCACCATGGCCCAGAATGGGCATTTCCGGCAGAGCACAGTAATAGAATGGCAGGAGGGCAGGAGACTGGAAAGGGAGCATCAGGGTCAAACTTGATCTGCAGGCCTGGCGTTTCCAGATTCTTCTTTAGCCACAAACTGCTGGCTTTGAAGAAAATGGCAGAGGCCATTTATAAATCAGATGAAAAGAGCTTTCAGTTAATCGAGGAAGGGCGCAGGTGGTCTTCTGCCCGGGCCTTCGAGGCTTAGTGCGCGTCTGACTCCCACCGGGGGGCTGCCACTTACTCGCTGAGTAACTTTAGGCACGTGGCCAAAGTCTGCCAGGAGGCTCCAGGCAGGCGGGCAGGCGGGGGCTCAGGACCAACCAACCTTGCAGCAGCTTCTTGGCTGGGTGAGACAGCCAACTTCCCCACTAGGGGCAGGGAGCCCTCCAGCAAAGGCGGGGCTGGGCTGAGCTGGGAGGATCACGCTGTTTTGCACAAACTCCACCAGGGAGGTCTTCCAGCAACTTTCTGGATGGGGGCCTTCCTGCAAAATTCCTTGACCATTTTCCCATGAACAACTAGAGGGCCTGCCCCGCGGGCAACTCAGCTGAGAACCCACTGACCGAAGCGACCCTCCTACTGTTTCCCTGAGAATGGAACACACGTTCAGGACTACTAACTGGGTGAGCAGCAGAGACGCCCCGCTCAGCTCCAGCAATGACAGTGAAAGCCAGTTATGACAGACACTTGCTGGCAGCAAGATCTGTGGTCACTGAGAGGGGCCCTGAGCGGCAGAAAGGACATGCTTTTTGGAAGCAGGAAGCCCTAAGTTCAATGCCAGCTCTGTCGCTTCGGAACTGTGGGCAAACTTGGTTTGTCATGTGTGAAATGGGAGCGAAGAGCACTGAAGGCGCAGGCAAGGCTCAAGTGAAGTGATGGTGACAGGGCTGGGCACGTGGCCAGGGCGTCTGTGCCACAGGAGCACAGGGCAGGCAGGGCGGCTGCGTTCTCGTCCTTACTACGGAATCATTAGCGCTTAGGGGCAAGGAACATGAGGGGTGAGGAAGAAAATGGTCAACCCCATGCAGCTTGGGTTACTGAGTGGCTGGTGGGCACAGAGGAGAGAAATGGGCACAGCAGAAGAGCAGGGAGGAGCCCAAGGTTGTGCAGGACAGGCTGAGGGAGAAGGAGGCGGCTCCCAGGGCAGCCGTCAAAACACATCTCTGACCGCGCCACTCAGAAAACACTCACCACTTCCTCACTGGGCTCTGGGAGCCCTCTCTTGTGCCCCCCTCCCCCAACAGGGACATGACCTGCCATCAGCAGACACACTCCAGGCTGCTCCATACCCATGCTACTAGGGTGGAGGGAGGTGCCCAAAGCCGTGTGGCCACTGGCCCCAAAAGGAAGATTTTATTTACGGGCCCAGCCAGACTTCCTCTGCTTCCCCATCCCCCTCCTCGCCCCCATCCATTTTTACACACACACACACACAATGACACAATGCTTTGAGGAAAATAAAGCAAGGCAGGGAGCGAAGGAGGGACCTTATGATCATCATGTGGGGGCTCCCTCTATTTGCCTTCACATCTGACCCCAATACCACTGCTCCTCTTCCATGGTTCCTTCAGAGGCGGCACTATGCCGTTAGTGGTATCATTACCTGGATTCTACAGGTTAGAAAAGGGAAGCTCAGACAGGTCCAGTAACTGCCCTGGCCATGCAAAACAGTCCCTGGTGGACCTTAGATTTGAGCTCAGTGCAGCCTGATTCCTGGATTCCAGATACCCTTTCTTGGTACTGGACAAATCTAAGCAAGTCTTCTTACTGGTGGGAATGACAAGAACAACTATTTAAGCAACTTACACTAAGGCCTTCTTAGGTATAGAGTTAGCTCACTGTCCCCTCCAGGTCACCTTCCCGGCCCAAGCCCGCAGGGCTGCAGAGGGGTAATGGCCTGGTGGGCTAGAGAAGGGCAGGGGAGGGAGCCGCTTTGGCATGGAGATGGGGGCAACTTCCTCCCGCAGCCCCTCCTACTGTGTTTTCATCCAGAACATCTGTGTTGGGAAGGAGACCTCCCCCACGCCCCCCCCCCCTCACACATACCAATGGCCTCTAAACAGCCAGTGGGAAGCAAAGTTGAAGAGGAGAGGCAGGTACCCTGGGCTGCCGGCAGTGTGCCCAGGCTTGGAAGGCAAAGAAAAACCCTGTCCTGGGGCTCACCCAGCAGAAGGATCGCCCTGGGGACCAGGCGAGCAGGCAGGGGAGGGGAGGCTGGAGAAGCAGCTGCATTTTCTCAAATGTACTTTGTGGCTGCCCCCAGCTTGGGTTGTTGGGTGCTTTTCTTTCTTTTTTTCCCTTTCAAGATCACTAAAGGTGTGTATGTACACGGATTGTGTGAGAAAGAGGAATACCCACATTTTCTGGAATATATACACTATATACATGATCTGTGGTGCAAGAGCCACAGGGTGACATGGCGAGGAAAGCAGAGCTGCATGCAGACAGGTCACAGGGGCCCAAGAGCAACGTAATGATGTGGCAAGAACATGAACTTCAGAAGCAGACAGAATGGACCTGAATAATGATTCTTCTGTGATTA